AGATAAACAAACAAACAAACCACCTCAACTCAAGCTCAAAGATAACAATAAACATAAGGGTGATAACAAACCTAAATGTAAATGCTAAAACCCTAACGTTTTTAGTAAGAAACATATTTTTGTTACTTGGGAACAGGTAAAAGTTCTTATCCAGGTCATAGGTCACAGGAAATAATAACTACAAAATAAATATATAAATGACATACATTTAATAAATTTAAATTTAAAACATCTGTTCAAAGGACCTACTAAAAATGGATCAACACAACATGTATAACGTGTAGCTGGCAAAGGACTCCTAAAGCTCAACAATAAAAAGATAAATCCAATAAAAGTAAACTTTATCCAATTTAAAAAAGACAAAACTTCATAAAAGATATATAAACAGCAACTGAACACATGAAAAAGTCTTCAACATTAGACTTCAGGGAAATGCAAAATAAAATCACCATGAGATGCCACATTCCCACCAGAAGGGTTAAAACTGAAACATCTAAGAACAGGAGTGAGTAAACTCTCATATATTGTTAATGAGAATGTAAAATGGTACATCCACTTTGGGAAGTTTCTTACAAAACTGAGTATTTACCTACCCTGAGCCCCAGCAGTTTCAATACTAGGTATTTGCACAAGAGAAAGAAAATCTATGTCCACAAAAAAAATTTTTTACAGGAATGTTCACAGCAGCTTTATTCACAATAGCTCAAAACTGGAAATAGCCTAAAAGTTCATCAATAGGAGAAGGGATAAACCAGGTGTAGCATATTTACATAATGACATACTACCCAGCAGGGAAAAGGAGCTACTGATACGTTACAACATCAAAAACATTAACTGAGCCAAATAAATCTTGCAGAAAAAGAGTAAATATTATATAATTATATTTGGAATTATGGAATTATATAATTTTATTTATATGAACTTCTAAAACAGGCAACTCGTAATCTAGAGTGGACAAAAAGAACAGTGTTTGTATCTGGGACAGGGACTTAGGAAAACGGCATGAGGAAACTTTTTGAGGTTATGAGGTCTTTCTATAAGGGTCTGAGTGGCACAGGTGCTCGCATCTGTCAAAACTCAACGAATGCACAAATAAGATTTGTATAGACTTTACACTAAAAGACAAATCTGTGAACAAACACTGAACTCTAGATAATAACATGCATATACTGGTGTTGTCAGGGGAAGCTGCACAGATGCTTGAAATTGGAGCAGGGACATGCTCAAAATATAAGACAGACTGATGGATAGAGGAATATACAAGCAGATAGATATGTAACAGAAATTATACAGTATTTTAATTTATGCAAACACTCCTCTGTTGACCAGTTTGCTTGTTACCAACTTCTACATAGTATCTTACAAACAGCTATTTTGTTCTTTAAATCATTTGCTCCAAAGAATATCATTAACTGTAAGAGAAACTTAGCACACCTTTCTAACTAAAAGTTCAATGTAACTTTTGTTTTAAAGGATACCTTAAACAAAGCACAAGGTTTTAAGAAAAGACTAGAAAAAGAGAAACTGAGAAGACATTTATAAGCTAATACCTTTTACCAAATTAGAGCCTTCTACCCCGAGGCTGGGCATTTGCTAGAAAGTGTAATCCATGAGCTTGCCAGACAATGTTAAGTACAAAACAGATTCCCACGCCAGGGCTGAAGCACTCTGTTTTCTTAGCCACGGATGGGTTTAGAAGACACAGTGTTATTTGTGTCTTTTTTTTTCAGGTGTAGGAACTTCATTTGTACAGTGGTGAAGAAAAAAAAGACAAGCATGGTCATGCTGAAAAACTGAAGAGTCCGGAATGACTTGGGCAAACTTTACATAGTTCAATGTGTGTTGTTGTGATACCATTCAAGTCAAAAGAAAGCATAAAACTGTCATACATATTTTGCTAGATTTGATACTGAAGAGCCTCATTTTACATATCCTAATATTTATGTTAACTAACTACCTAGGAAGCCTATTTCAAAATTTCATCAACTTAAAGTGAGTACCATGAAACCTTGGAATTCAACATTTTGTTAAAGCCTTTTTTGAAAAAAAAAAAAAAAAAAAAAAACACCTCATCTAAGCTTTTCTTTAAAAAGTGATCTCATGGGGCACCTGGGTGGCTCAGTGGGTTAAAGCCTCTGCCTTCGGCTCAGGTCATGGTCCCAGGGTCCTGGGATCGAGCCCCACATCAGGCTCTCTGCTCAATGGGGAGCCTGCTTCCTCCTCTCTCTCTGCCTGCCTCTCTGCCTACCTGTGATCTCTATCTGTCAAATAAATAAATAAAATCTTTAAAAAAAAAAAAAAATAAAAAAAATAAAAAGCGATCTCATGAATACATACTGGTCCCTGTGACAAAAATATGTCACTACTGGGAACTAAACTTAAAAGAAAATACCACTCTAATTGATACTTTTTATAAAGCTTTGACTGCTGTCCTTAGAAGGATAGAAAACCAGGATCAAGGGTCTCATCTGTAGAAGAGAAAGTCAACTTTAAATTCCAGTCAACAATAAAAGCCTGGCTCCCTCTGATATGGCCATCTTAGGAAGGCGTTAGAAATAGTTTGAGAATCTGCATCAACAATGGAAACTAAAGATTATGCCTCTAATTGGGGATAGAAGGATTCCATTATTGTCTCTAAACCATATTTGAAACAAGTATTATCACAGTCCAAAATGGGATAGAAAAAATTCTTAATTCTGCTGCTGGAAAAAACTATAATATTTTTAAAAGTTGTAAGGATTTAAATATGACTTCACACCACTTCTGAGACTTTTTAAATGGTTTCATTTATTCTCTGGAACCGTAATATCATTGCTAAATGGAAATTAACGCGTTAACATTCCTTCTCTCCAATCTCATTGGAGAGATCGGACTCATCCTTTAAATCCCTATCCATCTAAAAAGACTTCCTTAAATGCTCAAAACCAGGACAAGAATCCCTATTACCCCTCCATAACAGTTTATTACAATAACTTCGGGTTACTAACGTGATATTTTATTATTGTTGTTCTTCTTTAATCTTCCCTATTAGACTGTAAGCTCCATAAGGGCAAAGGTATCTGCCACATCAAAATTTTGTCAGTATTTAACATGTGACCTCTGACAAGTTACAAAACATTTGAGGAACAAATGAATTACAATTTCTAAACTTTTCCATCCTAGGGATTGTTCCAGTTTCCTCTTTTAAAACCGCTTTTCCATGACAATCCCATTACTCGCATTCTAACCAACTAAGAGTCAACTGAGAATTACTGTTAACTACTCATCCCACACACAGAAGACCAGATTTAACCAATTTGTTGTGCTATGCACACAAACATGAAAGTATCATAAAATGACTACAGTGTTACAATTTTATACCATGAAGAGTTTTACTGTTTTTATGATTTCCACAACAAAACTAAAAAATTTATTTCTTTAAAAAAAAAAAAAAAGAGTTCAGGGGCGCCTGGGTGGCTCAATGGTTTGTTAAAGCCTCTGCCTTCAGCTCAGGTCATGATCCCAAGATCCTGGGATCAAGCCCCACATCAGGCTCTCTGCTCAGCAGGCAGCCTGCTTCCCTCTCTCTCTCTCTGCCTGCCTCTCTGCCTACTTGTGATCTCTGTCAAATAAATAAATAAAATCTTCTAAAAAAAAAAGTTCAAAGTCAGTTTTCATAATTAAAACATCATTACAGGACTGTGTTTTACTGTCTGCACACATAAACCTCTAAAACAGAATAAAAAGTAACTATTTGGCAAACAGGAAAAAGTTGATTTGGGAGACAAGCACCATTTTAAGTGTGACTAAACCTAAATAAGTACATTAGCACAGAAATAAATATCACTATCATCCGTTAATGATTATTTATAATGCAGTATGCTGAGGAATACAAGATTTGTGACATGTGGGGGTGCCTGGGTGGCTCAGTCAGTTAAGCGCCTGCCTTTGGCTTGTGATCCCAGGATCTCGGGATCCAGTCTCACACTGGGCTCCTTGCTCAGAACAGAGCCTGCTTCTCCCTCTGCCTGCTGCTCTGCCTACCTGTGCTCTCTCTCTGTCAAATAAATAAATAAAATCTTTTTTAAAAAGATCTGTGACATGTGCTAAAATAGTCCAATTTGGAACAAGGTATGGTAAAGTAAACCTCAGTTGATTCATTACATCAGACTTAGACCTTTCATGTGACCTAAAGAAAAAGAAATGCTACTTCATCTAAAATATGCAACACTTGAGCAAATACCTAGTTATACCTGTGAGGTCCAGGATTTAGGAACCAGCATTTTTTGGGGGGAGAACCAATGGCCCAGAGGCTTCTCACTAAGTCCTCACACAACCCTGGTATATCATTTTTTTCCCCTGAGAAGACTGAGGCAATCTAGATAAGGTAAACTATCAGACAAGTAACAAATAGAAGTCCAGGACTTCAAAGCCTTTATTTCTTCTACCGTCACATAATGTACCCAAATATTCTTCTCCAGCTGTTTTATATAGGCACATTTTAATCTACCCAGTTAAACTGTAAGCTCCTTGAGAAAGGGGAAAAGTTTCACAAATTTCATTTATGTCTTTCATTAGCTTAGTAAGACTACGATAGATCCTTAAACACTTGTTGAGTTAAACCTCTTTTGGTTTAGACTATTCTCCTGGGACATACCCTCGTTGTAAAAACGAAAGAAACTAGCCAACAAATGAAAACTCTTAAGGCAGCCCGATTCTAACTTTATTCCTTCACACTCGGAACCGAAAAAGTTTAAGTATACCCATATCCGGAGACTACCACTAAAGGAGTTTGGAAATGCAAGTATCACTAAGCAAACACTAAGAACGGATTCACACGTTCCCCTACCACGCCCCCGTCATCCACGCACTATCCTAAAGAAAGGAACCTCTAGTCTTCCGGTGAGGTGTTGAAGAACCATAGCCACGCCCCCATTCTATTCCATCATAACTTGTTTTCTATCCCTACCCAGACCCCCCGTCCCCAAGACCAAACCCCTTGATGAATAAAAGTCTCTGACCTGCAGCGAAGTGCAGGGGAGAAGACTTCCGGCCGGCCATGTCCTTAGCATTCACGTTTGCCGCGTCCACCAGCCTCTTTACCCGGGACACGTCCCCATTGCGACAGGCCTCCAACAGTTCCCGTAGGGCCCCGCTCACTGCTGGGACCCCTGACCCAGGTCCCGCTGCCCCAGGCCCCAATGTTGCTGTGGTGCTAACTCCTGCGGCCTCGGGGCTCTCCGCCAAACTCGATCCAGGGGAGGATGGAGAGGAAGATGAGGAAGAAGTCGGGGAAGAAGAGGACGACGGTGAATTGTTATTGCCACCGCCGGCTGGGTTGGGGGCGACCCCGACGGCAGATGAAGCGGAAACCGCCGGGGCCACGGGAGCGGCGGCGACGGTACAGATTGTGCTGGTGGTACTGCAACAGCTGGTACTGTCAACCGGGTCCGGGGATCGAGGCCTGTCGGGTGGATCCCGACTGCCATCACCCTCCGGCAGCGCTAGGCCGTGCCGCGGGGAGGCGAAGGGGGCCAGGCCACCCGCCGTTGGGGAAGCTGGGGTGGTCCCCGGGGCCAGGCCGGGGCTGAGTGGGGGGGGGAGGTGGTGGCGGCGGCGCCGAAGCCCCTGGGGCGGGCTGAAGCTGTTGTTGATGATGGTGGTGATGATGCTGAGAGCGACGCGACGCCGCCATCTTCGGACTCCCCCAGCACTGTCACTGCGGCAACGGCCCCACCGCCCGCCCTCACTTCCGACCGCTAGGCCAATTAGCATCCAGCGCACAGGAAATGATGCTAGGCGGAGTGGGAGGAGCCAAAGAGAAGGAGGGAAGTATTGGGAGCTCAGAGAACAGCCACGGAAGGGGGCGTGGCTTTGTGCCTCAGGGGCTGGCTTTGTGACGCCTTGGCGGGCCGGCTGCGGACGTTTGAAAGTTGGAACCGACCACTCCCTAAATGAGGCACTTTTCCTCCTTTCTCGCTCTCAGGGAGCTTACTTTGCCCTGTTCCGTTCTGTTGCCAAGTCACCTTCAGTCTTCCTTGTCTTACTCCAGAGCGTCTCCTGAGGTGTAACTCAATGCAAGAAGGGTACGTTTATCATGTCCCAAGTGGCCTCGTCTAAGAAATAAAACAGAGTGTAACTCACAGAATTGTTAGCAGAATTAAATGAACTAATGTATAGAAATCGCTCTGACCATTAGTAAAACATAACCATATTTAGCCCATTGGTAATTTTTAAAAATGGGGTCTGGCCCCCTCTGCCCCGTTACTCCCCTGGCCTCTATGTCCGTTCCTGGAAGTATCCTCGCTCCATCCACTTTGTTAATACTCCCATAAAAATAAGGGTTCCGATTGCCAGGATTGGAATTCAAACTCTTTTTTTCTAGCTGTATAAATTTGGGCAAGCTGTTGAACCATTCTGTGTCTCATGTTCTCCCCTGCCAAAATGATTGAATCGTTCAGTAATTGTTAACTATTAAAGCTATGATCTATTTTCTCTTCTGTTCTCTCTGTACTTTTAGATCTCACCTTAAGTTTGACTCAAAAAATTATGAATGTTTTCCTTTTGAGTTCTTTTCAGCGGAACCTCTCTTCTCTCTCCCTCCCAAACTAAGATAAAAACGTAACTACTCTCCATCACTCATCTTCAGATGACTTTCTTCAGCAACTCCTTTTTCTCTCTTTCCTCTGCCTGTACCTACTTTTATGGCCTTCCATCAAAAGAGATGTGTCCGTGCATGGGATAATCTTGGGTGGTCTCGTTTCCTGCCTCCTATTTAATAGTAAACGAGGCATTGTGGTAGTTTAGAGAAACAGCCTTATTCCAGTAGAGGGGACATGAATGGAGACTGTCTTAAGAAAAAACAAGGTTTACATGGGTCAAATAGAAATTTGTCTCTACAGAATATTAAACCCAGGTGACAAATCGTTCTTTTGTTTATTTTTTAAAAGATGTTATTTATTTATTGGACAGAGACATGGCAAGAGAGGGAACACAAGCAGGGGGAGTGGGAGAGGGAGAAGCAGGCTTCCTGCTGAGCAGAGAAGCGCATAGAGGGCTTAATTCCAGGCCGTGGGGATCAAGACCTAAGCTGAAGGCAGACACTTAACGACTGAGCTGCCCAGGTGCCCCCAAATCGTTCTTTTATATGTTCAGTATTAAAGGTAATTACTGTGATGTTAATATTCTCACCTAAATAAATAAGTAGGTTTATTTAGGACTACCATGTACATAAAACAAGGTCAGGAATGTAATTAATATTATGAGTGACATTTGTTATCAATCTGGGATTACAGATTATAACTCTGACCAATATTCATCTGTTTCATAAATTTGTACCATTGTTTAAAATACTTGGTTGAATAGGAAAACCTCCATCAGTGCAACTAAAATCTGTCACAATACACATTCTTCTGGTTTTGAATCTTAAGTTAATGCACAGCACAGGATAGCATTGAGAAGTGTATTACGTATTATCAACATAATACATTAGATGCCCCTAACTCACCTTGTGCCCCTTGACTAAATGGCCTTCTCCCTGAATGAGAAATATCCCACCTGGTCCCCTGATGGCCACTTATGAGAAGCTGTCATATTTACCCTAATTCAAATGTATCTACTGCATCTGTTTATCAATACAAATAAATAAGAAAATTTCTTGGGGATAAAGATTAAAAGGCCAAATTGCCTGAAACTATTCTACTGGTTGACGTCTGAAAATGTATTTGATCAATTGGAAATTGCTTTTTCCCCCTCCAGTGGAAAGTAGTAAATGTACTTAACATTAAGTATTTATAAGGTTTAGGTTGATATGGACTAATACTGAGCTCTAAACAGGAAAGGGCTGAGATCATTACTTAATCTTTTACAGCTAAATGCAATTCCATGAGGGATGTACTGTGCCCTAATGAAAAGAGCAAAGCTTGAAGTCAGATGAGCTTGAATCATATCTCTGACCATTACTAGTTGGTTAATCTTAGTAAATATGCTTCAGCTCTGTCATTCTAAAATTCTTATTTTATCGTAGCATTGTCATGAGGATTAGAAGATCTGGGTGTTTTCTAAGTCCTTCTGGAGTGTTAGTTTCATTCTTTTATGAGGCATACATCAGATGTTAATAGAAATTCATAACCACTACAACATCCTTTCTGACAAAGACAGCAACTGGGAATAAATATCCAACATTTTACACGTAGCAGAAATCTTAAGCAAAGAAAGATCAGGTTTAATTGTTTCCTCATCTGAAAATTCAAGATTTTATACAGGCCCTGACTATCTCCAAGAATTGTTGAGGATCATAGTCGTGTGACATCTTGCCATTTTCAAAAATATTTTCAGAGAAATCATGTCCATGTGGTATAAAAACGTGAACACACGGCTCTCTCTTGAGCCATACTGTTAACACAAAAGAAAGAGCCACCAACTCAAAGGGCACTTGCCTTCTGGGCTGTGATGTAATGTTTGTTTTTCCCCATGGAGATCATATGAACGCACTTTGTAAGTTACACAGTCATTAACTTGCAGTGTCCATAGTTCAATTAGACTTGGTGTGGTTATTCCATCCATGTACTTCTCATTAGTCTGCCCCATATCCAAGTTCACTGGTTAGAAGTATCTCAGATCTGCCAAATCCACTTTTTCTTACTTGCTCTGAGCAAAGCCTTCTCTGCAAATTCATGAGCACAGGCTAGAGCTTAGCTGAGGCAGTGACATTTCCTCACCTTGGCCTTAGAAGATAAGTTATTCTCATGCCAGAAATGCCCTTTGTGCCAATGGCCCAGATTTCTCTCTCTGAAGGTGGTACAGAGCCGAGAGAAATTTTAGCTGAATTTCCATCTGGAAACCCAGGAGAATATTTTCTTGAAAAGCCATAGATGGGCAAAACTTACAACAGCTGCAATCATGCTAGCCATATTGTATCTGAGGAAGTTTAATTAAAATAAAAGGCTTAACAACTTATTACAATGTAAGAAAAGTACAGTAATTTAAAGATCCCTATACACTAGTTTATTAGCATTTTCAGTTGCTTTTCTTTTTTTAAAGATTTTTTACTTATTTATTTGACAGAGAGAGATCTCACAAGTAGGCAGAGAGGCAGGCAGAGGGGAGGGCGGGGAAGCAGGCTCCCTGGGAGCCTGATGCAGGGCTCGATCCCAGGACCCTGAGATCATGACCTGAGCTGAAGGCAGAGGCTTTAACCCACTGAGCCACCCAGGCACCCTTTTAGTTGCTTTTTAAGATACCTCTTATGTAGCCGAGTCTGGCCTCTGATAGCTCCGATATTCTCCTGGCATGGGCTGTATACTTGGCAGCAGTCACTTCAGTGTGAAGTGTCAGTTCTAGGAAAAGAGACAATGTAATATACGAGTTAAGAATGTGGACTCTGGAGGCTCCTGGGTGGCTCAGTGGGTTAAAGCCTCTGCCTTCGGCTCAGGTCATGATCCCACTCGGGCCCAGCATGGGGCTCTCTGCTAGGCGGGAAGCCTGCTTCCCTCCCCCTCTCTCTCTGCCTGCCTCTCTGCCTACTCGTGGTCTGTCAAATAAATAAATAAAATCTTTAAAAAAAAAAAAAAGAATGTGGACTCTGCATTTAGACTGCATGGACATAAATCCTGGCTTTGTCACTAACTAGTTATGTGTGATTAAAGGATGCCACAACTTGCATTTTGACAGAGATAAATCAAAACTTATTTGCTATGCTTTAATAAAATGGTAAACAAGCTTTCCCACCAAGACATTCTTTTCCTTGTAAGCATTTTTTACAAAAGCAATTAAAATCATATATATGTAGATATACACTCCATTACAGATTAGCATATGGCTTCATCCCTCAAAAGAGTTTATAAATACCTGCTATCCCCCAAAGTCATAGGCAAGTTTAGAAAAGTTCCATGGGTGCCTGAGTGGCTCATTGGGTTAAGCCTCTGCCTTTGGCTCAGGTCATGATCTCAGGGTCCTGGGATCGAGCCCCACTTCAGCCTCTCTGCTCAGCAGAGAGCCTGGTTCCCCCCTCTCTCTGCCTTTCTCTCTGCCTACTTATGATCTATCTCTGTCAAATAAATAAATAAAGTCTTAAAAAAAAAAAAAAAGTTCCAGAAAGCTCTGGAATGTATTGATAAGGAATAGCATAACTAGCTAACAATGCATATGTAATGCTGCAATGGCTTATGTAAGTTGGGGTGTAGCCAGTCAGAATAGGGCTGATACAAGTGCAAGCCAGTAAATCCTAAGGTACACCCAAAGTGCTCAGCCTCCCCACTCAGAACATGGGGCTAGCCAGCCAAGCCATGATGAATAGATATCCCCAACTATCAGGGGTCATGGACCACCCATAATGATCCTGACTTCATCCCTGGTGAAGACTGGAGTAAAGACCTTGGCAAGGAGAGCCCACCAGATCCATGGTGGGAGTCAGTGGCAACAGGGACATTGAGAGACACTAATCAATCCCCAAACAGGTGGCGTGGGCCTTCTACCAGCTATCATCTCTTCCTTGCTTGCAGTTGTTACTGGGCTCATTGAAGGAAATAAATGAATGGAAGTTGTTTGAGTTAAATGGTATTTGTGTTCAGCTTCTCATGGTATTGCCTATTCCTTCATATCTTGTCTTTGTTTTGACATTGTAGCTCAGAAGAAGACATTGAGTGATCCAGGAGCAGTTATTTAACCTCTCTGCCAACCCACCAACAAGGTGAGGAGATGAAGAGTTATTGTGAGAAATAAATGAGTTAATATATGTCTAGGGCTTAGAACAGCTCC